CCAAACAAAGCTCTAAAACACAATAGAACACTGAATTATTGTCACAGAAACCGTTGAAATAGCTAATCAGCACGCGCCAAGAAACTCGAAGCTCACGTGAAACCAATCCTGTCTTAGATACCAAGTATTCTATGGGGCACAACAGGCAAGCCGTTGCGTTGCCTTTCCCATTCAACCAGTCCCATAATGGTTTCTATTGAGGCGCGTCTCAGTTTGCAGCCCTTTCAAGTATTTGTGTACTGGCGTGACTCAGTACATGTATGCCTGTACACGTTAGCCTTTTCAACCTAGGTTGCCTGTTCATGTTTTTAAAGGACGCTCTTTCTCAAGTGGTTAATTCTAAGGGCACCATGTTTTTTCTTCAGGCGTTGGTGTTTGAAAGTGCTGACTTAGGTTTGCTGTTTTAGGTACCTAGATGTAGTTATTGTTTTTGGAGAGTAAAAGTACGTATCTAGTGATTTATTAAGACACTAGCTATCCTTTACTACACACACTGTTCTCACATAATTGAACCAATTGTTTGTATAACGAATCTGTATGTGAAACTGATTTAAAAAAAGTAACCATGGAGTTTCTGGCTCGTTTTTCTCCATCGGAATCTACACTAAAAGGACTAGCCGACAGACTGACACTTTATATCTTTAAATTTAATTTGACGTTCAAAAGTGTATTTGGGTCTTATTGAAATAAATGATTTTTGACTTTTTCACCTGTGTTTTCTCAAGTTCCAAACTATGCCTATACCAAATTTCACAGAAATCGGTTCAGTAGTTTAGGCGTGAAGAAATGACGGACAGACAGACAGAGTTACTTTCGTATTTATAATATAATTATAGATTTAAGATGGTCGGTTAGAGTGGTTGTTTAAGAGGTTATTTTGTAAGTTAATACTATCAAACTCTAAAGAGTTTAACTTAAGTAAAACTTACCTTTTTTTAAATAGAAGATTATTTCACTGACTATTATAGAAAAAATAATGAAGAAAATATCACATGTAATTAAATCTGTAGAAGTTATAATACAATCAATAAACATCAATTAGTGGAATAAACTGCTAAACAACAAATTAAGTTTGTTGAAGATTAACCTAATTATATTTTATGAAATAAAAGTTATTTCTAGAAAAAACCAATTTCGCCCCGAGTCTGTCAGAAGTTATTTACAATTACTGTCTATCTGGTTTAGCTGGGTAAGAAATTTTGCGTTGCTACGCTAGACTTCTGGGATTAAAATATTATTAGATATTATAGAGTCGACTATCACGCATTAGATATAAAGTTCAAAATTCTATGCTGATACCAAAATAATTTCATCAAATAATAAAATTCTGTTTTTCTAATTAAAGTTTTTGAAACGTGTAATAAAAAATATTTGAAACTTTGAAAACAGCGTAAGCCAAATGGACTTCACAGCACTACGAAATTGCTAGGGTTGCGAGTTCTACCCCATTTTTTTTGTTATCGTATTTGTTTCGCGCATCTAGCTTGGAGCAGGATCATGAATGGTATAGTTTGTGTTTTCAGTAAGAGTCCGACACTCAATTTAAAAGTGAAAGATTAAAACAACCACGGCTTTGTTTTTCCCCTTGTGAGTGTAGTTACCGGAGGTCCAATCTATTACCCCTTCGCCAATCCCCAAAAGGATGACAACGCACTCGTAATTCCTCTGATGTTGCGGATGTCCATGGTCAGCGCCAATTACTTAACATCAGCTTTCCGTCAGCTCGTTTGTCATACTATCACATAAAATACAAAAAGTAAGAAGAAGATTTCCCTCTTCAAAAAAAGCGCTACAAAATTACCAAAGCATAGTCGGGTAATCCCGAAAAACAAAAATACCATACATAAATCCAAAAAAATTTTCATTATTTGTGCCAGCAACCCTTATAACAGTCAGATAAGAATTTCTTATGAAGTTTTCCACAAAGGTGTAATTGAATCTGCAGTAATGTTTGCACTACATGTGCTCTCTGAGAGCTTTTGTTTTGTCTCAGTCGCCATAACTTCGTCTTGCGAGTAATACGCTCTGACAGACTCGTGTATTACCGCCCTAACATTGTTCTTTTCTTCTTTACTAAGTACTTGAGTGTGATTCGGATTTTTTTTGTTTCGACCTTCTTTTGTTTAAGTACTGTGAATGTCGCGTTGGAAATTTTTGTTTCGTTGTACATTTTTATTCGCTTTTAATCGTCCTTCGAGTTTGTACATTTAAGATTCTAACAATTTTAGATTCTTTAATACTGTTATATGTTTAGAATAATACCATGGAATAAACAAGTTTGACTGCACGGTTTTCGCAGAGGCCGGGCAACGGATACCGAGTAACTTGTCAGGTTTCGAGTCCAGCACGGAACAAAATTTTGTCCGATCCAGTAATTGTCGTTTATAGATAAGACTAAGGTCTGAGTGGCTTGTGTATGTAAATTTGTATGCTTGTAATTCCACCTACGACACAGGAGAAATAATAAAAGCTATAAAAGCTTTGATCGCACTTTTGGTTT